TCTAATTGGGACAACAAAGTCATTGACATACAAGAAAAGACCAAAGAGGTTTGTATCACTCATACAAATAGCACGTGTTTTTGCTCATTGCTCCTCTGTTTCTAATCTAATCTTTTGGTCTGATATTTTGTTATAGATGGCATTTTTATCATCTCTTAAGCAAATTGCCACTGCTGAATCCACTTCAGTAGCTCAGGAATTCATGCCTGAGTTCTTTAAGCTGGTGTTGGGGACCTTATCCCTTCCTATCGATCTTCCCTGCACGAATTATCGACGCGGACTTGAGGTGAAATAGATGAGCATTTCGACTCATATATCTAGTCTTTCATTGCGGTTTATAGTCTAATTAGATTAATATGTTTTGACCATGATTTGCAGGCAAGGAAAAATATTCTTAGAATATTAGGACAACTCATAGAAGAGAGAAGAGACTCTGAAGATCCCCACAAGGACATGCTTGGGTACTTGATGAGAAAAGATGATAGTAATAGACACAAATTAAGTGATGATGAGATCATTGATCAAGTAATCACGATTTTGTATTCCGGTTACGAGACTGTTTCCACAACATCGATGATGGCAGTCAAGTATCTCCATGATCATCCAAGAGTTGTCGAAGAGCTAAGAGTAAGTAACAAAGAGAAAATGAACATTTTTTTTCTTTTATCTTTGAATTGTTCTTTATATCTTTGTTTCATGCCTTTTTGGGATTTTTGACTCGTTGAAAATATTTCAGAAAGAACATATGGCAATTAGAGAAAGGAAAAGGCCAGAGGATCCAATTGAATGGAATGATCTGAAGCCAATGAAGTTTACTAGAGCTGTAAGAAATTTGTAACCATTATTTGTTAATCATTAAATTTTGTAAAGAAAAGTTTACTGACTGTGTTTGCTTTTGTTATGCAGGTGATTTTTGAGACGTCAAGATTAGCAACCATTGTTAATGGAGTTTTGAGGAAAACTACTGAAGAAATGGTACTAAATGGTGAGAATTGTGGGATCCATGTATTGTTTAGCTGAGTGTGCACTTTGTGGACATGAAATGATCTTCTCTTTGTGGACCTTAGCTCTATCGTGATTTAACTGGAACGCCTACCAATCCAGCTAGGCAATCCCCTGGATCTTATTTTCAATGATTTTTAAGAAAGAAATGAAGCTTTTTCAAAAGACAATCATTTTGGTTTTTTTATTAAGAGTAAACTTGTTTTCTTTTGCAACTTTTAGCTAGTCACTCAGTTAGCCAAATGATTGGAATTTCATTGGCCGAAAGATAATTTTTTTTCCAGGATTTGTGGTTCCTAAAGGCTGGAGAATTTATGTATATACAAGAGAGATAAACTATGATCCTCTTACGTATCCTGATCCATTAGCCTTCAATCCCTGGAGATGGATGGTTAGTAATCAACAATCTCCTTCCCCTTGTTTATGAAACATTGTTTAATAATCCGGGATGAAATGCAGGACCAGAGGTCGGAATGTCAAAGTAATTTCCTGATATTCGGAGGGGGCAGCAGGCAGTGTCCTGGAAAGGAACTAGGAATTGCAGAAATTTCAACGTTCCTTCACTATTTTGTAACTAGATACAGGTAATAACCTTAATAAACTAGTTTTCATTAAATATGTTTGGATGAGGTTAAAGTAATGGAATTGTCGAGAATGAGTGCAGATGGGAAGAAGTAGGGGGAGAAAAACTGATGAATTTTCCAAGAGTGGAAGCACCAAATGGACTGCACATTAGGGTTTCATCATACTGACCCCACAGATGTATATGTACAGAAGAGACAGTAACTGCTTTGAGTTGGAGTTGACTCTTGAATCAGAGGTCAAAGTACGTGGGTTTGCGTAATGTCAGATTTTTCGCCTCACTTGCACTCGGGCCTATTTATTTTGGAGAAGATGGCAACCAGGTTTGCCCGTTGGGGGGTTTGGTGGTTAGCCGTATAAACGATTTTTTTTTTTTAACTCTTGACAATTGGGAAGCTGTAGAAGAGGACGTAGAATTAGCATGTTCTAACAAAATTTTAAATGGAATCATCACATGTCGAGGGACTAAAATACAATTCTACCATGGAGCCCATGGTCTTAACATTCTTCTTGGGCTTGTTAGTCAAATGGACTATTTTGATGGACTGGCAAAGCTAATGGGTTTCTTAGCTCACATATTTCATTTACGCACAACTTTTTAATTTTTATTTTCCCACAAGATTATAATTTGGAACGGGTTTATTTTTAAAAAATTAAAAAAAATTTAAATTTAATGTTGACTAAAAATATTTTTGAGTTATTTAACAAAATGATAAACAAAAATATTTAAAAATGAGAAATATAATAATGTTCTTATACCTGCCGTTTTCAAATTTACACTTGTTTATATTTTTCCTAGTTCTCGAATAAATTCTTTCGAAAATCAGAACTTAAAATATCAAATATATTAGTTTGTCAGTAAATTATTATATTTTTCTTCCATAAAACAAACTTAAAAAGCAAGTGAAAGAATAAATAAAAATGTATATAGGATTTATTAAGTATATAAAAATATAGGAAGTTATCTATTAACATAATAATATTCCAAGTTTCTTCAATATTATTTTAGTTAAAATGAATCCGAGCAGTTTTGTATTATACCAAACGAAGGTTCATTGAATGCGATTTCACATGGGACATGCAAATAAGCAATTTGTTTCATGTTAGGTAATCTTGTTATAAAATTAAATGTCATAATTAAATTGCACCGCACATTTTGTTTCTAACATATATATTTAATTTTTGGGCAATTTGTAACTATATATATGACATGTTTTAATTCCATTTGCTATTTAAATATTTATTTAATGATTTTAAATAAAGAAAATAAATAAATATAACAGAAGAAAGCACGATGCCAGCATTTGTACAAAGTTGGGTTTATTCTAGGTTTATAAATAAATCCATTTTATTTTCTCAAGTTGTAGCACATGGATTCATATTCTAAAGTCTCTTTAATTTATAAAAGAAATAATAAAACCATTTCTAAAATAGTTTCATGTACACTAACATGCATGCCAATTAACACACTCTTACTCCACTACTTGTTATACATGGCAAGGGTCAAACTTTCTATTTTTATTTTTATAAGTTTACAACATTAAAATGAATATATCACAAAGATGGGCTATTCCAATTTGGGTAAAGTACACAAATGATTCTCGACTATAAGATATTGTTTTGTTGATTCCTCTGACTATTGAAAGTTACAAAACGGTCATTCGACTATTCATATATTCCAAACTTATTATTTTCCATTAAAAATTTGACGGTGGTATGAGTTGGACATTACATTGCTTTGTTAAGTCCTCTGACTATTGAAAGTTACAAAATGGTTCTCTGACTATATGATGTTGTTTTGTTGAGTCTCTGACTATGAAAAGTTACAAAATGTTTTTATACTTACTAACTGGATATGATAAAATATGATCCCAAAATCTCAACGACTATACAGTTGAAACGTTTTTGGTATCAAATTTTATCATAACTCAGTCAACAAGTTAACTTCTAGCTCAGACGACCGTCAAGTTTTTAATAGAAAATGACGAGATTGGAACATATGAATAGTGGAGTGATCATTTTGTAACTTTTAATAGTCAGAGAAATCAATAAAGTAACACACTATAGTTGAATAATTATTTTATAATTTTAATAGTCAAGAGACTCAACAAAACAATATCTTATAGTCGAAAGACCATTTGTAAACCTTTCAAATCTAGGTTTATTTGAAGAATAAATACTATATCATTATTATTATTATTTTTATAAAAATAAATATTTAAAATATATTAATTTTAACTTAAATATATAAAAATTCACCTTTGATATTGATTATAAAATATTTTAAGTACATAAATAAAAAATCATATACTTTTAAATATCTACTTAAAAAATACTTTAAATAATCATACAAAAAATGTGTAGACCTTGATAGTTATTTTGATAAAAATATCACTTTAAATATTTAGATAAAAATGATATACTTTAAATATTTATCTTGGAATTGAACATTTCATTTATAGCAACACGTCACCTCTCAATAACATAAAGTCGTTAAGGTTTACACGTTTTTTGAATAGTTGTATTAACTGAGATGAATATACAACATTAAAGCTTTTTATTTAAAGATAACATATGTTTTCTTATTTTCTAAATGTGTAAACTAAATAATTTTACATCGTTTCAATGAATATTAACTCACATTTATCACAATGTTTAAAATATCGTTTTAATTTTTTCTCATAAATCTCTTTTATTTTTCTAGTTTTAAACTTATTTTTATCGGAAATTATTGTTTTAAACTTTTAAAATTGTGGATACATGGTTTCTCACAAAAACTTATCTAGGTTTTGCTAATTCAGAGGTTTTAAACGGAAAAAAATGTATTAATTTTTGGGATTCAAAATATTAGAAAGTTATTTTTTTATCCGTGAATTTCTTTTTTTTCCCCCTACAAATTGAACCAGTGGTCAGATTATTTACCAATATTAACGTCATTTTTTCCTATTATCCATAAAATAAACAATTCGAAAAATAAAATGTATTTAAATTATGGAAACCATAAAAATATGGAAATTTGTAAAAAAAATATAAATTTATTACAAATGTATTTTTTGAAAGAAAAATAAATCAAAGGTTAAGAGAATGGAAATTTTAATGATTAAAATAATGTTTTGAACAATTTAAAGGATAAAAATGTTATTAGGCCAAAAGTAAATAAGAAAACCTCAAAATTTTTTGGAAAAAGGAATTGCGCTTTTTAAAATAGACGAAAACTCAATTCTTAAGCTTAAATTCTGGTTTTTTCCCCTCTCTGGAAAAGAGTCGTAATTCCCTGCTAAACTCTTGCAGGTATCTCTTTTATCTTGCTCCACACGTGCTGCCATTCTCTTTCTTCACTTTATCCTTCTATTTATATTCTCCTAAAATTCGCACAATCTCCATCCCTCTACCTCTATCTGCTCTGTCTTCCTCAACAAAAAGAAGAAAAATTTTCTTTCTTTTTGCAGTGACAATGGTGGAGCCTGCAAAAGTAACCCAAGCGGCAGCACCAGCAGTGCCTCAGCTGAAGGATGAGCTTGACATTGTCATACCAACAATAAGAAACTTGGACTTTCTTGAGATGTGGAGGCCATTTTTCCAGCCTTACCATCTCATCATTGTTCAAGATGGTGATCCTTCCAAGACCATCAAGGTCCCTGATGGTTTTGACTATGAACTTTACAACAGGAACGATATTAACAGAATTTTGGGTCCTAAAGCTTCTTGCATTTCCTTCAAGGACTCTGCTTGCCGTTGCTTTGGTTACATGGTCTCTAAGAAGAAGTATATTTTTACCATTGATGATGACTGTTTTGTAAGTTCATCTCTCTCTCTCTCTCTCTCTAATTTTGGTGTTATGTTTTAGATTCCGGTTTTTGTTATTTTAGTCCAATTTTGGATTTTGGGATCTGGGTTTTTGTTGTTTTGGTCAAAAGCTGAACCCTTTAATTGTTTCGATCGGATATTTGGATGATTTCATCGTTTGGCTGATTTAATTTTGGATCAAAAATTGGAAATGGGATTATTTATGTTTCAGATATACCTTGAAAATTGGAAATGTGCTCAATTGATTTTCTGACATTGACAATTCTGAGAGGAATTTGTGTTTAATTTTATCAAATACTAAAGCAATCTATACAGCAATGAATTCATATTTCCTAATTGCCTCATGATTCAGGATATCAATCCTGTATGGACTGTAATGGTTGCCATATCTTCATAATTCTTGAATTGATTTCTGCATTTGTTTTCTTATTATTATAGTATGATGCTGCATCTGGGAAAGTCTGTCTTGATTTGCATCTTAGCATTTTCCTCAAGCAGGCCTCATCTGTTTCCTTTTGTTTACATAATTTGAATTCCTTTTTGCACATGAGTCTGGCAGCTGAGCACATGCTCTACATGCAAATATACGTTTCTAATTATTAAATAAGGAGCTACAGTGTGATCTACAGCTCTGAGATTCTAAAATCTTGGATCATTGTCTACTTCGTGTTATTGTATATTGCTTCTAATTGATGATTGGCGATCTCGAAGTCAAGATCGGAACGGTTGGTTCGAAATGATGAGGGACTTCTGTGTCTCCTTCGGAATTCTAGTAAATTAACATGCTTACCAAACTCTGCATATTGTTTATGAATTTTAGGTTGCTAAGGAACCATCTGGCAAAGCCATCAATGCACTTGAGCAGCACATCAAGAACCTGCTGTCCCCATCGACTCCCTTCTTCTTCAACACCTTGTATGACCCATATAGAGAGGGTGCTGATTTCGTCCGCGGGTACCCATTCAGCCTCCGCGAGGGTGTTCCAACTGCTGTCTCTCATGGCCTGTGGTTAAACATCCCGGATTATGATGCACCGACTCAACTTGTGAAACCTCTCGAGAGGAACACTAGGTAATGAATTTTCACCAGAAGGAAACACCTTTGTTCCTTTCCGTAGTATCATCAAATGATTTACTAATATTGCTTGTGATGAATCAGGTTTGTGGACGCTGTTCTGACTATTCCAAAGGGCACATTGTTCCCCATGTGTGGTATGAATTTGGCTTTCGACCGTGAGTTGATTGGCCCCGCCATGTACTTTGGACTCATGGGTGATGGTCAGCCGATCGGACGCTACGATGACATGTGGGCCGGCTGGTGCATCAAAGTAACACAATTTGACCTTTTGTCGATATCATGCAGAAGTTTTATAATTGGCTAATCTCCATTTACCTGCTCGATGATTGTTTAGGTGATATGCGACCATTTGGGACTAGGAGTCAAAACTGGACTACCTTACATCTATCACAGCAAAGCAAGCAACCCATTTGTGAACCTAAAGAAGGAGTATAAGGGCATATACTGGCAGGAAGAGATAATCCCATTCTTCCAACAAGTTGTGCTTCCAAAAGAGTGCACCACTGTTCAAGAGTGCTATATTGAGCTGGCTAAGAAGGTGAAGGAGAAGCTTAGCAAAGTTGACCCATACTTTGACAAGCTGGCTGAGGAAATGGTTACCTGGATTGAAGCCTGGGATGAGCTCAACCCTACTGGAGCTGCGGTGCCAAATGCTAAAGCAAATTAGAAAACTTCAGTCGCCATTGTTTCCCCATAGTTGACTGGGTTACAGTTGTTTCCTGTTTCTGTTTGGTATTTTTACTGTTTTACCCTCTCTCTTTTTCCAGATTTTCGCAGGATGTGATGTAATTTTTTTGACTTTTATGTTGAAGACATTAAGATGCATTAGTTCGGTTAGTGTGCTTCCGTTTTATAAGAGAAATATCCTTTCTACCATGTCATCTATGATCCGTAATAATATAATGTTATGTGGGAATATTTTTATGCGTCATTCTATTGCTATTAACCATTGTTTCCTCATATTCCATTAGGTCATAAGTTCTAGACTCTTCTTCATTATCCTAGTGTTTCTCTTTTACCTCCTCTCTATAGTTGGAATTAGGATTAGTTTAAATTTTATATTAAAAAATCAGTGTTTCTTATGCTTTTAAAGTCTAAACATACAGTAAATACTTGTGTTTAGTTCCGATATGCTTAAAAAAACGGAGGGGAGAGGAGGCATAGACAAAGAAGAAAGGTGATCAGTTGGAATGAAGATCCAACTGAATATATATTGTCACATTCCAAATTTAAAGCTAGAAGTTTAGTTTTAATCAGTCAAATCAATAAATCTTTAAAATCAAGAATTTTATGTGAATATATATTGTCACATTCCAAATTCAAAGTTATAAGTTTTAGTTTTAATCAATCAAACCAATAAATCTTTAAAATCAAGAATTTTATGTGAATATATATTGTCTAATTCCAAATTCAGAATTAGATATAAAAATGGTCTTTTAACTGAGGAAAGACTATATTAAACCATTAAACTATTACTATAAATGATGGTTAACGAGTACTAAAAATAGATGATAATAAATAAATAAATTATTCATTCACTTAGATTTAAATATCATATTAAAATCGAGCCGAAGTTCAATTCGGATCGGATATAGGTAAACTAAATTTGGGTTTCTTTCGGTTCGGATTTCTTTTAGTTGGATTTATTTTCAACCCAACTATAATTTAGGTCAATTTCGGTGTGATTCGAGTTATTTCAGGTTTCATATCAATTTTAGGTCATCTTGTTCGATTCTAAATCGAGTCTAAGATTGGATAAATCAATTTGGGTAATTGGGTATGGGTCAAATTTACCATATCTAAATTTAATCTATTAACTATTGTGTTAAATTTAAATTTGGAAATTTCAAGTTATTGATTGAATAGAATTCGAACAACATAATACCCAGCTCAACATCTTTTGAGCCCAATTGAACTTTTAGTTTTAATAAATATTTTTATATTATTAAATTATATTTCTACCTTTAATATATATTGTTGAATATGAATGAGCTTAATAGAGCTCGAGTTCAAGTTTTAGTATAAAAATTGATAAACAAATTTAATGGAGCTCGAGTAGCTCAATGATATATTGAGTCGACCTTAAATTTGAAAATTAACATATGAACGACTAGAAGTTATATATTAAATTCAAAATTGAAATCGTAAAAAGAATTTTAAGTTATCAAATTGAGTTGAGTTAAGCCCGAATCTCAAGTGACAAACACTAACGTTTAAAACGTAAAAAACTTCTTTTACTATTATGAGTTCCCAACCAGTAAAAGATGAAACTCAGGTTGGCGAAAGAAAAGTAAAGCATTTGTTAATGGAAATGGTGTATGAGTGAAACTATAAGGCTATGAGGATGATAAAAATGAAAGGTCAAGCGAGCTATGAAGTAGGCTTGGTGACGGATAATAGTAGTGGGTGGACCCGAAAGTGATTTGGTGATGGATTTAGTTAAAATTTAGGTGAAAAATATTGGTAATACGTTGACATTTGGAATTTGGTCGATGTTTTGTTGATTGTGAGTTAAAGATGAAAGTGACGATGGTTGATTGTAATAATGAAGATTGAGATTTGGAATGTGATGTTTTGCTTGATGATCACATCAGTGTTAATTAATTATTTGATCGATCAAAGATTAATTTCGATAATAAAAAAACTAATTGATTATTATTATAATAATATTTAATATAAAAATAAATATTCAAACCATACCTAAAGTTAACTTTAGGTGTCTAAAGAATTTTTCGTTAAAAATAGGTGTCTAACGTTTTCAACATTACACATTTATGTGTTTGTCGTTAAATTCAATCGTTAAGTGACACGTGTTAGGCTTATAAAAATTTAATTTTTTTAAAATTTTATATGTCTGACACGTGTCATTTAACGGTTGAATTTAACGATGTTAACGGTCCAAGCACCTAAAAATGTAACGTTGGAAACGTTAGACACATATTTTTAATGAAAGATTCTTTAGACACCTAAAGTTAACTTTATGTATAGTTTAGACACTTATTTATACTTTAAGCCTTATAATAACAATAAAAGTTTAACTAAATTCACATTAACTTGAAAGACCTAATTAAATTTTTCGCTCAAAATCTTTTGACCCATAAATATATTTTTGTTTAACTATACTTCCTTTTTTTTTTCCTCTTTACACTTTTAAATTTTAATCTTACACCTCTAATTGTAAGATTTTTTTAATTATTTGATTTTTTACAATATAGAAGCCGCTAGTTTATTAAAAATAAAAAAATATTTAATTTACAATAAAATTACAATCACAACCATAAACAAAAACATATAATAAGAACATTTTTCTATGATCATTAACACAAGAAACTAGCCACTCGAGATAACAAAATGACCGTATAAGGAAAAAGTTAAAAATCTAACCAAATAAACTCAAACAAAAGATAGATACGAACAAATCTGATCGCATCAATAAATGAACCACAAAATGGGATCAAGCTATTAAAATATCACCAACAAATTGCAAATCAGAATTGAGCGATGTGAGAAAACTATCTACGAACGCATATCGCTTATTCAAATCCAATTCGATGGTCCAAAGCAGGGAAGATCAACATGATAACAAATGAACGTCATCTTGATCAGTCGTGGCGATATCAAATTAAGCCATGAGAAAAATGATAAACGAAAATGACGACCGAAAACGTACCAAAAGACAAAAGAAATGTACCATAATTTTTTAAAACTAAAAAAATGTATCATAAAAGTAAAGAAAAATGTACCATAAATATAGAGTATTAAAAAAATGATTTTTTTAATCATAAAGAAGTAGGGGAGCCTAAACAACAAAGATGGGTTTTAATTATTTGGTTTAAACTTTAACATTCAATTAATAAATAATAAACCTCCGCTAAAATTGAATATGTGGTACTCTAGTATTCAAATCTCCTATTTAAAAATTAGAGTACAATCTATAATACATATTCAAATTTAACAAAAGCCAATCAACAAACATTATGAAATAGGCTCTAATTTTTAAATCAAATAAGCGAAAGTCCACAATTCCTTATAATTAAAAGCATCCAAACTAAATTTCAAAAGTTTGTAGAGTACATGGACTAAGGGCAGCATTAGACTTTTTAAAATTAAACAATATTAAATTTTCATATATGCACGATATTGATATTTTAGATTAAGGTCTTAAAGCCCGAATATATGGGTCTAAATGTGGCCTAGTTGCCCTTTATCCCTAGCCTACAATTTCTCCAATACTCGGCCAATCTATCTAGTTTTGTACTTATTCTAAGTGCATTTTATATTTACCTATATCTATATTTCTCATATTAAAGTTAAATATTTAATAATATTTCTTACTGATTATTTTGTATATTTATTAATAATCAACATTCTAATTCTATTTCTTTTTACATGAAACGAAATAATACATTTATTTGTAAATATAAAGTATGAACTAGAAAGTAGCAATATGCAGAAAACCAACATTATTTCCTTGATATTATTTACTATCCAAAGCCACTTGCAAAATGCCCATTACACAAGCCCACCCGAACTTCTTTATTCTCCAGCTCACCCTAATAATTTGTTTAAATAGCCTTTATTTACAGTAATATTATTTGATATAATTTTGAGCAAAGCTGTATTTTAACCCTTTTATATTTCAATAGATATAACACACATGGGATGTCCATACGAATTTTATTTTGAATTGAATTGTTTCTTATCTTACCAAGTTGATAATAGTAACCAAAATTACCATCTAATTTATGGGTCCACCATTTCCTTAATATTAATTTCGTAATGGAATTCTTATCTTGAAGCTTGACATTTCATTTTATATATGGAAGATAAACACTGAATAGAAAGATTGGCATGTTTATTATAAGCAACCCTTCAATAATGTCTTCCAATTAACATTGAGAAATGTTGCAATTAACAAAGGGGAATGAATGCACAAAAAATAATGCTAGATAAGGGATATTTGGGAAGTGATTCGGTTGAAAGGGGAGAAAGTTTCTTGGCACAAATTATTATAAGCAACCCTTCAATAATGTCTTCCAATTAACATTGAGAAATGTTGCAATTAACAAAGGGGAATGAATGCACAAAAAATAATGCTTCGAAGCATATCCTATTATTTCTTCTGGATCTCTGTAGATAAGGGATATTTGGGAAGTGATTCGGTTGAAAGGGGAGAAAGTTTCTTGGCACAAATTAATATGGTTTCCAATGCACATTCCAAAACATAGCTTGATTGCTTGGATGACTCTACTGGACAGATTACCTACCAGAGATAGACTTCATAGAATGAGGATTATCACTGAAGGAATTTTTGTTAATTGCAACATTTCTCAGGAGATAAGGGATCATTTGTTCTCTCAATGTTTCGTGACAATTTGTCTTTGGAATTCAATTTTGTTCCTTAACGGGTTGAAGACTACCAACTTGGTATGGGATGATATGGTTTCACGTGCTAGATCAACATGGAAAGGGAGATCACTTCTCACCACCATTTTGAAGATCTCTTGGTATGCTTTTATCTACACTTTATGGGAGGAAAGAAACCAAAGAATATTTCAAGGCCGATCCAATCGAAGACATGCTCAAAGCTATTAAAGAAACTGTTGGAATTCAACTTAGGGGAAAAATATTAATAGACTCGATAGTACTAATTATAACTTTGTAATGTATGGGGTATAGTCTAACCGATCATTGATTTTGTAAGTAAGTTGTTCATAGTTTTTTGTTGTTGATTGGTTGATTGGTTTTGTAGCAGAACACTACTCTTTGGGTAATAATATCTGAATTATCCCAAAAAAAAAATGCTTATGCCTAACCTATATCTATTTCTCTACTAACATTGTC